TGAATCTGTATTCTGGCACTTCTGCTCTTTGGGTCCAATCAAGTCAGGTGGCCAAGCCTGACACTGGGTGGGGGTGGATACTGCCTGCAGAGAGGTATTGCTACAAGTCACCTGGCAATGGGCGGGGATGGGATGTATAATTCTCTTACAGAGAGGAAGTGAATAGTTGACAACATTAATACAATCAATCACAGGTAACATCACTTCACATTCACTAAGAAAGAATCCCAGCTCTCTACTACTTAGCAATAGACCACATCTACTACTACCAAAAATTGTAGGCACTCTCAAATACTTGTCCATTCTATTTTGACAAACACACACATTCAGCACCTGGGACAGTGGCCATAACCGCCGATGAACACTGTCATTCAATACATCATTCACCCATACACACAGTACTATTATATGTCCATCGCATGAGAGAGGAAAGCTGAGCTGAGTGGTTAGTGATCAGGCGTAAGGCAAGAAATGGCACACTACAGGGAACAGGGAGGAAGTAATGTCCAACTGATACCACAGAAAAATTTCACATTGACTGGAACATCAAAAACTGCCTTCTGAGCAAAATAGAGGGTGTAGCCAGGGCAGAAAACAGTTCTCTTCCCCAACATGCTCCCTTGGGTCACTGGGTGACGGTGGATGTTCCCAAAGACATCGTGAGACACTGTCATGCTGTAGATGTGCCTGTGCTATAATTATTGTAGACTCACCACCAATAATTTGCTTTTTATTTTTTCAAGTAGGCCTTAGAAATTACAGTATGCAAATGCTACGAGGCTAAGAACCACCAGACTAGGTGTCTCAGGTAATCTTCCTTCTGTGTTGGGCGATCACCTACTGTTTACAATCCCACCCATCCTCTGATTCTCTTTAATTTCTACTAACCTCCTAGGAGCTCACGCCACTTGCCTATTTTATGTTGGTATTTTGATTTCCGGATTCTATTTTTGGTGAATAATGATTATACTCCTGGTACAGTCAGAGAGCCTGTAGTTCTGGTCACCTGTTTTTCTACCTGTTAGCTGTCTCTTCCACAGAGCCAGAGGCCTGCCAGGAACTTTGGAATATGGAAGCACAGAGACCAGTGAGACAGAGACAGAGTTTGCCTACCCATGAAATGAGTAACATCCATATGAACTATAACTGAGGCGATTTACAGGACACACAACCCTCAGAATAATCCATCTGGTTGAATGCTGGAATCAAATCCATCAAACTTTTCTCTTCCCGTATCTTCCCTCTACTTACTATAGCCCTGGGGAATAGTGTGATCCTGGATCGTAGTGAACTTAGGTTATCTTCTGCAATATAGGGCATCCTTGGGTAGTTAGGTCCTTAGGATCCCCTAAATATACTAGGACCCCTGGTGTCAGCGATGGAACAGGCTGGGCTTGGCAGGTGGCCGAGGTTCTTTTGGAGAGGGGAGACTGCAGAGGGGCCAGATCTCCTAGGGCTGCTTTGAATCCAACCAGAGTCCTTGGATCCTAACGTTGACATGAACAATATTTATTTGAGTCACCAAAATATGAGTAATTGATACAAGCCATGCTTATCATTCCACAAAAGCTATACTAGGATCCTGCTCTGATTTTGGTGTTGGAGTTCAAGTGCAACACCTGCCTTGCTGGCCAACACTTCTGGTTATCACGAAGAGGTGTTTTGCACATCATTATGCTTTGTGGGAACATAAGGCCCTTTGAGATGAAAAACAATGGTGTGGCCTCTAACATGATTAATTCAGTTCTTAACAAGGTGTTTTAAAGTGAAATGTTAAATCCTTCTCATTTTGAAGATAAAGCTTTGTTTTTCTGCTTATGTTGTACAACTATTATAAAAGGGTTTGAGATGGGTAGGTTCAGTTTGGAGACATTTGTTTCAAAAACCAAAGCACCCTTGGAGAAATAGGTGATTCCAAGTGTGAGACTGGAACTTACAAGATGAGTTTGTGAGTTGGAAATTGTGGTGTGCTAGGAAGTATTCCAAAACTACAAAAAGAGTGACAGGACTCAGGAACCAACACAAACATTCTTTGTCCAAAGATGGGGCAATTTGCGCATCAATAAGGATACAAACTAAAATAGCTGCAAAGGACTGAAACATATACAATCTGTTTAAATCCAGGCATTTACAATGAGGCTTGAAAAACCACACAACTCACTGATCACTGTTGGAGGATACAGGGAAGCAATTTACTATTTTGAAAAAAAAGAAAGAATTATGCATATGTCCTGCCTTTCCTATATGAACTATATCTCAGGGTAACCAAGAGTTGATGGGAGAAGTTGGTCTTCATAATAATATTTCAGTAATAAATGAAGATTCCATTAAGAAATGGAATTTACATTTCCATTAAATGTAGTGGAAGAAGTGTTGCCAAAAGTATCAAACCCAAGCCTGATAAAGCTCTAGATCTAACCACCAATTTACAGGCAGTACTAAAAGTCAGAAGAACATGTTAAAGGATCCTAAGGATGTAATCAACAAAATTTAGACTGTGGGAAACTCTACAGGCAAAACTCCCCGGGATTTTTCACCCTCAAAGTTTCCAGGAAAAGAAAAAGTGCAGGAACTTATAGATTAAAGAATCCTGAAAAGGTAGCCCAACCCATCACAACATACAAACCTCAGGAGGATTCTAATGCAACAAACAAGCCATAAAATAGGGTAAGACAATCAGGGAATTGGAAACCCTGATTTGATAGTTGATATTAAGGAATTATTTGCTTTTTCTTAGAATAATGGCATTAAGCTTATTTTTATATTTATATTATATATATTTCTGCTCCGCCCCCCACCCCCATTTGCTCTCACAGTGGCAATGAGTCCTCACAGCTGGATCAAAGTTGTGGTTTCTTGTACTGAATTTTAAGAGCCAAATGAATATTTCTTGCTGTTCATTTAGCAGTGTCTTGAAGATAGCGCACACGTAGTCCCAGAACTAAGTATTTATGTGTTTCTATTTTAGAGAAAAATATTACAAGATGAAATGCTCTTTCATAATGGCTGGATATGATTCTTTTCAGTGAGTGGCAAGAGTAGGTTGAGCGTAGAAAAAATAAGATTGGTTAGGAGCTGGTAATTGTTAGATCTGGATGGTGTGTGTATAGAGATTCATTATACTAGTTTCTCTAGTTTTGAATCGGTCTGAGAATTTCCATATTAAAATTTTTGGGAAAAAAGTAAGAATAAAATGAAAAGTCATTAGGATAACAAAAACAAACAAAAACCCCAAACTTAGCTTTGGTAACAGAATGGCAAGAATGGCAGCTAGGACGCTAGAGTCAATTTCCCAGGGAAGCAGAAGTCTGGCTTCAGACCTGGCTTTTCAATGGAGACCATCTGTCTAACCTCTGAAAACTAGAGTTAAAATGACTTGGAAGGCACTGGATCCCCTAGTTCATGATCTTGTACAAGCACAGCCATGTAGAACATGGAACTAGTTTGCTGTCGACACGATCTCTACAGTGCTCGTGAATTATTCAATAGAAGCTGGGTCAGTGGGTCCACAGGAGCAGCCCTGAACTGGACGCTTACAGGACGTGTAGCAGCAGCTGCTTCTGGAAATCACACTCCTCTCAGTGACACTCACTGTGACACACAACTTGCCTGAAGAATGCGGCATTCTATTTCACAGGCCATCAGCACACAGCTATTTTTTCTATGTTCTTATAAACCTTGACTTAGCTCTTATATATGCTTACCTCTGGGACAATGTGTGCAGTATCTTCAGGATACTGCTAAGTGAATGGCAAAAAACATGCATTTGACTATTAAAATTGAACAGAAATGATCATACCTTTGATCCAGCTGTGGGGACTGACAGCCAATGGGCTGAGAGCAAGCTGGGAAAGCAGGGGTATGTTTTTCCCCGGAACGGGATGCATAGCTCAAATGTGCTCACTCCAAGGATCCATTAATCATAGTCCTTAAATAGATCATGCTTTATCTTTACCACACATTTTATATCTGTAAACCTCAAGGTACATAATTAACCTATTTACATTAGTGGTAACTGGTCACTAGAAACCTTTGGAAACACAGAGACCACTGCCTGTCACACTTTAATATAAGAAGGAAGAAGGCAGGAATCTAAATATACCTGACCTAGTTCTAGGGCTAGGGAGGGGCCAATACAACCAACAAAACCTAGTTCTTATCAGAATGTTCTTGTAAGAACGTTTTTATTGAAACAAACTGAGTGCTACAAAGAAAACAATGTTAAAAGCTTAATATTCTTCAAGATTTAAATCAAGATTCATTTCTTCCAAAAATTCTTCTCTAGTATTTCTTGTATAATAATCCTTCTGTTACTCTGCATTCACTTAATCTTTGCAGCTAAAGCGTTGTCATATTTTTCTTTATATGCTATTCTGTAATTATTTAGGGGTCGCTTCAAATATATGTTATATCCTCTACCGCACACCAAATCTTCCAGAGGGCAACGAATAAGCCTGTGATCCCCCACCCCTTTCTTAGGGCACTGATACAGAGGCATCCAAAACACCTGCTGGATGGAGGAAGGGAGGAAGGAAGGAAGGAAGGAAGACCAGCATTTGTAAATATAAAGAATAAAATATTGCATTACTGCTCAAGCTCTGGTTTGAATAAGTAGTATTTCCAAGACCAAATTTAAAAACATTTCTTTACACTAAAGTCAATGTCAAAAAACTTATAGTTTGCACAATCAAGATGAATTGTTAAATATAGGCCCTATAGTAAGTAAAGTATAATAATTCAAGTAACTTGGTTCAGCTACTACAATATGAACTGAAATGATCAATTAACCTTAACTATAATGTTATTACAACTTTATAATTATTTCTTCTTTAATATATCTTATTACCTTTCCCAAGATCTTTTTAGTTCAAACTGAAAATTATTTAGTCAACATTTGGTAAGATACACACAATTTTAAGAAGCAAAATTAAGTACATATGTGACAAAGAAATTAATTACCTATTTTAACCATCTTTGGTACCAGTAACATATAAAATTACCTTCGAGTAATTTGGTGAGAGATACTTCCCATTGCATTTAGCAATGCTTCTCAGAATTTTTAATGCTTTGTCTCCTTTCTTCCGCGTAATCAGCCAGCGGGGAGATTCAGGAACCACCCTGGCAAAGAAGGAGACTTTTTTGAGTTATGCCTAGGAAGTTCAAAACCTAAAAGTTTATGACTTGAGTTTTTCTATCAGAACGGATCTTGCAATTAGATACAAGTTTAGGAGACTAGGAGAGTTTATAATAGGCCCTGTGAAATGTAGATTATCCTTGCAAGATTATAACAGATGGAAAAAATGCTAACTTGATAATTGGATCATTGCTCATCAAAATAATCAATGTGACAGCGCTCTTGCAAAACCAGGATATCCCACACTATAGTATCTTTGATGATATACGAAAAGAATTGAGATTTAATGAGTATTAGGAAAAGATTAAGAACCTGATTTATGTAAATCAACTTGCTCATATATTAAAATTAAATTAGAAGAATCATTAAAATATGTCCATACTCCAAAAAATAAAATACATATATCTATAGCTTTTTGATAACTTAGTTTTTTGATGCTCTTAACATTTTTTATTCCTCAGAGAATTCCTGAGTAATATTAATCTGCTTAATAGATTATAGAGAGAAGCAAATAAATTTCATTACATTTAATTTGAATGTTGCAATACTGGCAAATATGGTTTGTTGCCTTATTGTTTTCATAAAGATATTGCAAAACAATAATATATAATGTAATTATTTAGAATTTTGTATTTTGGTATTTTATGAATTTATTTTTAATGACAACTAATAATCGAATAATCAAAAATAATCCCTATAAATCCTAAAATTCTCTAAAAAATTCTCAAAGCACATAGCCATTTTGGAGACGTTACAAAATCTCCTTTATTGATTTCATTTTCATGTTGGTTTGGACTCTACATTTCTGTGGAATAAGAATAAATATGATAATAACCAAAGCCACATTACCAGTAATAAAGGAGGAAGAGAAAGTTGGGCAGCGTTATGGCTAGCTGGATCCCTTGCCAACTGGGGATAAAGTAGGCAATTCCAGGGAGAATTATGATTCCAAGGGTGAAGAACATTTGAATCACTATTCCCACAATCCTCCTTTGTTTTGAACCTACTATTTCTGTCACTGAAGGAAAACAAACACAAGAGGTTAGGGAAGCTCAAGATCGGCTCCAAAAGAAACAAACACATACAGAGACATTGCACCTGTTATATCCATCAGCACTGCTAGACCACCCGGGAACTCCACACCTGCTGAGATGATGGAGGTGTGCCTTCCTCATACCTTACGCTCTTCTCTGCCAATTACCAAAAGCATTTGCCATCTTCCTCTTATATACTCAAACCCAGCACTCTTCTGGGTTCACCAGGGGAACACAAAGAATGTATGTGTTGGTTTTAGGACAGATTCATTGATGATTGTCTTGAAAGGTCATTGTCATTATCAAAACATAAATATAGTAAGCTGGCTAAATTTTATCATTGTATCTCTAAAGATTTGCACATTACAGTCTCTTTAGGAGATTCATTGTGAACATTAGACTCTACAAATACTTTTCATTATCACATGACAGCTTCTATTAAATGATAATTCTCTCCACAGTGTTAGATTTTTTTCATTTATGTTATAGTTCTTTAAAAATTTTAATGCTGGAATCCTTTTCTTCTCTTTCCCCTTCCTACTAATTGGTTTCCTCTTTTCTGATCATCCTGGGATTGTTGTCCTAAGATCACACCTTTGAAAATTCACCTAGACTAGGGTCTCCTTAAAAATGCCTCACATTCCAGAGTTATCCCTTCTGCTCCAACAACTGACAACCAATCCCTCCTGACACTTCCCCCACCCACAGAAAGATCTTCAAGATGTCTCCAAAGTGGGCACTGCTTGGAGAAGGCAAAGTAATAACAGAAGACAGTGGAAGCCCAAAGATCTGGAGTAATAATCTAAGATAAGAAGTTGCATTTCCCTGGTCATGAATCCACCTTGACTCCTAAAGTAGGTGGCTGGTCTTGGACTAGAAATAGAGCCAAAGGAGTATCCAGCACTTTCCCAAGTAATCTGAGAAAAAAGTAAAGGGAAGTTTTTCTTTCTCTCATACCCAGAAGGTCAAATTTTGTAGTTATGGAAGATAGCAAAAGGTCACAAATGAACTTCTCATTTTTAAGACATATTTCCCATGTGGTAAAAAGTTCTCCACTTGTACAGGAAGAGGAGAGTTAGATAATATTTGAAAACATAGGAAAGTATTCTCAAACCATATCATAGAATACACAGAAAATGCTTTAAAATGTTGTCTCAAGGAGCTATTGAAATTTTTATAAAAATTAATTTCTAATAAAACAAAGCTAGAAGCCATATGATAATGGTATAGAGTACTCGAAAGTGGATGACTCCAGTTTTTAAGATATTCCATATTTGTTTCCCAAAGTAAGAAGGCATTTCAGTTTCTAAGGCAGTCAGAATCCTGGCTCTGAGCCCTTGTAACCACAGAAATAATTACTGTAGCTGCAATGAAATCTCCTTCGTTAAAGAAACACGAGGAAGGCCAATAGTTGGCACTTCTCAGCCATGTAGCCCTAGTTTCCAAATAGAGAAGGCATAACAATGTCTTACCAATCACATAGCAAGTCATCCACGTCCCCTTTCCAAACACACCTTGCAGGAATCGGAAGATTACAAACACAGGGAAATTTGGTGCAAAGGCCACCACGACACCAGTGACGCCAACGCCAAGACAGGATATTAAGTAAATGACTGTTCTGCCATACCTTTTTGAGAGAGAGGAAAAGGGCTCACCTTAAACATTTTCTTCAACACAATGGAAACCAACTATCATTTTCAGAGTTGCTAAAAAAGTTATAAGTGCAGAAAATGTGTTCTCTATATCTTCATTATTATAAAGTAAAGGATGGTTGAAAACTCCATGTCTTGTTTTATGGCAAAAACAGGGCAAATAAAACATGTACCTCTAAAACGACATTACAAAATTGAAAGCATGGAACATGTCCTCTGTGATTGCAGTTTCCCAAAAGATGGTGTCCCAGGTGTGATACTTTCTAGCGTTTTTGTGGGTTGAGTCATCAGCAGAGAGTGGCAGAAAGAAGTAGCACTGGTGTATGACAACCAGAAGGCCTGGCCCGGGATCTTCTCCCCTCAACCACGTATCAGTCACAGGACCTTGGGCCAATCCCTAAGCTCTCCAAAACTCAGATTTTGTTCTCTTGTTTTTGTTTTTTACCACTGTTTCTAGAATGAGGTTGTAGAGAGGATCAAATAAGATGTTAATGTGAAAGCTCTTTATAAACTACAAAGTTCACAGCCAATGTCAGTTGTTCTTAATTTTTGTATTTTATTTTCATCATTTACATAATGATTATTAAATAGCTTAAGAAAAAGGAACAAGGTATTGTGCACAATACTCCAAGAATCTGATGTTAATTGGTTCAGTATAGTTGTATCAAATTATTGGCTGGTGAAGGTTTGATGTCAATGACTATTAAGATATTTGATTCTATGACATTTTCCATAGAAATTTCCACAGTATTTGCACATATAGCATCTTGCTTGAGTCAGGCAAAGTAGAGGTGGAAGTATCCTTAGTTTAGTTAGATTTTTTAAAAGTGACTCTATTTTACAGAGCAGTTTTGTGTGCTCAGGAAAATGGAGCAGAAAGTACAAAGAGGTCTCTTATACCCCCTACCCCAACACGTGCATGGCCACCCCACTGTCAACGTACACCACAGGAGTGGTACATTTGTTACAATTGTGAGCCTGCACTGACACATCATAATCACCCCAAATCCACAGTGTACTTTAGACTCACCCTTGATGTTGTACATTCTATGGGTTTGGACACGTGTATAATGACATGTATCTACCACTGTAGTATCAAACAGAAGAGTTTTACTGTCCTAAAAATCCTCTGTGCTCCACGTGTTCATCCCTCCCTCCCACCAACCGCTGGCAACCACTGATATTTTTACCGTCTCCATAGTTTTTCTCTTTCCAGAATTACATAGTTGGAATCATATAGTATGTAGCCTTTTCAGATTGGTTTCTTTCATTTAGTAATATGTATTTAAGTTTCCTCCATGTCTTTTCACAGTTTGATAGCCCATTTCTTTTTAGTGTGGAATAATATTCCATTGTCTGAATATGTCACA